GAAGTACGTCATAGTACCATACATACAGTATAACCTTATTCTGGTCTTTCTAGGTAGACTTGATACTCAGTGCCCAACCTACTCTGCTGAAAACTACACCCTGGCAACGGCACGTCAGCCTCTCAATGCAGACCAATTCAAAAAAGGAAGAAAGAAGCAAATCTCCAGGGGCCAGGGGAGGAGAGCACACCAGTGGGCCAAGTGTAAAGGGCACTCAGGTCGTATGGCCCGATCCTCATAAGGTCCTTTCTAGCACGTATTCCACCCTTGGCCCCAGTTGACTCTCAGCCCTGAAAGAGCTTTAAATAGAAGTGGTTTCTGGGGAACCTTGTCCACATGCTTCTATTTAAAGCTTGAACAGCTCTCAAGGCACGCTTAGGCTCTAGATAGCACACTAAGAGAAAAGGAGGAAGACACCTCTCAGTCAAGGAGGAGAGCAGGGAAATCTGCAGAGGCCTTTCAGTAAAGTCAGGTTCATGGGAACTCAGCGACAGAAGTCTTTAGCATTTCCTATAAACATGACGAATACAGACAACAGGTCCTTCAAAAGCTCTCTAGTTGGAAGGTACACTAGCTTTTAGGTTACAATACAACTACGGAGAGACATCCTCATAACATCCTCCCCCAGGGCAACCTTCCCCTGGAGTGAATGCCCCTGGTATTGGTACAGGGCAGGGAGAGGCAACTACCACACGTCAATTCATAGCTGCGATTTGCACATGGATGTAAAATTTTCTGACAGAATTTAGGGAAAAACATTATGGCTTTAAGTATTAGAACGGAAATACTGAAAAAACTGAAACGCTTGGTATTTAGTTTTCAAGTGCTCTTATAAGAGCCACTTTGCTTTTTGCAGAATATAAAAGTTGCAAATGTATTATGACTAGCTTGATGCAGTCGTAAAATTGTCATATTCGACCCAGTCAGAAACGTGAAAGCCCAGGGAAAAACCAAAAAAATCAGGATGGGAAAAAAACCATTTTCTGTTCATAATTTTTTTTCTGCCTCCCTAACATCCCACAGTCGATTCTGTGGGCTTAAGTAACACCAGATGTTCAGCAATATTAGCATTTACTGGCAGGTAAAAATGTGGGGCAGAACGAATACTTCCGGCCCTGCTCATGTCCCCTCCTGGCTGATAGTGATGGAAATTATTGCCCCCACAACTGTACTGAACACAGAGATACGGCAGGCACAAAGCTAGAAATAAAGAAAATGCTTAACACGCTGAAATGTGCTTTGGAGCCAACTGTATCCAAATAATCACTTTCAAAGTGAAACAAAGCCCAGAAGATGTGTTTGGACTCTTCACCAGGAAATGCCTGTGTGACGTGTCACACAAGTTTTAAGGTCTGTTATAATCTCAGTTGCCACCAGTGAACACTACGTGGAGCTATGCCAACTAGGGTAAAGGTTAACTCCTATGAGATGGTTTTAAACACACACCCTATGTGTCGTGTCGTTAATGGGAACAAATGAATCAGCAATGCCACCTCCAACAAAAACCATGTTGTGAAATAAGTTCTTTGCATAGTGTTGAAATTTTGAGTTAATCAGTAGCCACCGTAACATTATCAAGGTCACATCAGCCATACTTCCCTACGATCTCTATTATCCTAAGGGATAGAAAAATGAACATATCTCAAAGCAGCTCAAATAAATGATTTGACTTATAGTATGAATATACACTAGTACAGGGCAAGTCATTTGGTTTATACTATAATTCTCTCAAACATTAAATAACATTCACTATTCAAATTGTAAAATCACATTTTAAGTCAAATATAACCTTACTTAAAACTTTTTAATAACTTTTGAAGAATAATTCTGTTCACTGAAATTCAATCGATTCTCCTATCAATCTCTCGGAACAACATGAAGTTCGTTTTACTCACCTCTCTAGCCACATTGCTAGTCTTCACTTCCTGTATAACTGTGCCAAAGATGATATAATCAACAACATCCTTTGGGACACTGGTCCGATGCAGCAAACCCCTGAGAGAAGTCCAAAGCAATAAAAACTGAGACAGTGCCACAGGTCATCACATAAAACACTGTAATTCTTTTAAAATGACAAGCTAAATAGGAAGAATCAAAAATCATTTTGAGGGGTGCCTGCGTGGCTCAGTTGGTTGAGCGTCTGACTTTGGCTCAGGTCATGATCTCGTGGTTCATGGGTTCAAGCCCCGCATTGGGCTCACTGCTGTCAGTGTGGAGTCCACTTTAGATTCTCTGTCCCCTTTCTCTCTCTGCCCCTCCCCATTCGCACGCATTCTCTCAAAAATAAAACATTAAATAATTTAGAAAAGGATAAAGCAGATACATAAATATAGTAATGTTAATAGGAACCAAAGTTTCAGTCAAAAGAGAAAAGAGAGACAAGTATAAAATCAAAGAGATGAAATAAAATCCCAGGTATATTAAATTTAAATTTGGAGTACCAATATAAACCCATAATTAAAGCTATACATTTGTCTAGTTTTACCCACTGATAGAGACTAGAAGCAGTCACATTCCAGTAGAAAAGGAAGGAGTCAATCTTTTGGGCTTTTTTTAAATGTTTATTTTATTTTTGAGAGAGAGCCCAAGCAGGGGAGGGGCAGAGAGAGAGGGAAACACAGAATCCGAAGCAGGCTCCAGGCTCAGGCTGTCCAGCTTCAGAAGCGCGGCAGGCGGACCCCAAACTCATGAACTGTGAGATCATGACCTAGCGCGACGTAACGTCAGCTGAACCGCCAAGCGCCCCCAGGAATGAGGCAAATCTTGACTCAGACTTGGCTTTTTTTCAGACTGAGTTTCAATCCATTCCCATAAGGAATCACTTATTTACTTTTAATTTTAAGATTTGTTTTAAAGTTTACTTATTATTTGAGAGAGTGGGGAAGGAGAAAGAAAAAGAAAGAAAAAAGAGGGAAGGAGGGGAGGGAGGGGAGGGAGGGAGGGGAGAGAGAGGAGAGGGGGGAGAGAAGAATCCCAACACTCTGGTACAGTCTGAAGAGCCAGGCAGGCGATCTTATGAACCATGAGAGATCATGACCTAGCTAAACAAGTCAGGCATAACTGAGCCAGGCCTCCAGGCCTCAATATTTTATTTAATTAATCTCCCCCAACACTGAGCTCAAACTTGCTACCCCTGAGATCAAGAGTCACATGCTCTACCTCAACTGGAGCCCAATCAGTGCCCCAGGAATAAGCTTTTTAAAAAAAATGACTGAGGCTAGGTCTAAGGCAAGACAAGTACAAAGTAAATCTCACTGATCTTTTTTTATTGCCAAAAAATAAGAGAAGACTTACCCAAAGACTTGGGATATCAAAAACAGGAACATGGGTGTACATTTGTCAGTTTCATACTAACGCACTTCTTGCATTTATTATATTCAAGTTATACCTCAGAAAATAACATTGCAATATAGGAGGCCCTGGGTGCGCAGTGGATTAAGCGTCTGACTTCACCTGCCAAGGTCCGATCTCATGGAGTCCGTGAGTGAGTTCAGGCACGCGTGTGAACTCTGGGCTGATGCTCATCGAGCCTGAGCTGTTCCGATTCTGTGTCTCCCTCTCCTGCCCTCCCCGGATTCATGCTCTGTCTCTCTCGTCCCAAAATAAATCAGCGTTAGAAAAAAAAAAAAGAAAAATAACATTATGCTAAAAAACAAAGGGACATAAGAACTTGGGGGTGCCTGGTTGGCTCAATTAGTAGAGCATGCGACTCTAGATCACAGAGTCGTGAGTTTAAGCCCCACATTGGGTGGAGAGCTAACTTAAAAAAAAAAAGAAACAACTTGACAGGAGCTCCCACAGATAAAATGCGTGAGCTTCAAAAAGAATACTGACTAACCTTAGCTATGACACAGTAAGTAAAATGGGGTACCTGGCTGGCTCAGTCAGTGGAGCATTCGACTCTTGATTTCGGGGTTGTAAGTTTGAGCCCCGTGTTGGGTATAGAGCTTACTTTAAAAAAATCTTTTTAAATGGTTATATATTTTATTTTTTGAGAGAGAGAGGAAGGGTGGGGCAAAGAGAGAGGGAGACAGAGAATCCCAAGCAGGCTCCACACAGTCAGTGCAGAGCCCATCGCAGGGCTCAAACTCATGAACTGTGAGACCGTGACCTGAGCCAAAATCAAGAGTCAGATGCCCAACTGACTTAGTCACCCAGGCAGTCCAAAAATAAAATCTTCAAAAAAACACAGTAAGTAAAAATTCGTAAGTCTTAAAACAAAGAAAAACTGTTCTTTACAGAAAAATACCAGCCGATAAATGTAGGAGGAATAACAAAATTAGAAAAATCATAAATTTGTAACCTCTGATGTAATAAAACGGATTCAGGCAAAACTGTCAATGAATGCTAAAAACCATCTGGTGAAAGACCGTTGGGGAATGGGCTAGTCACACGGTGCTATGAGACCACTTTACAGATTACTTACTAATTGCAAAAGAAAAAAATGTACCTTTATAATCAAAAGACCTGGCAGTCTGACCATGACTGAGTGGTTAGATTTAGTATCACATATCATGTGCCTCCTGACATGACAGAATACCACGTGCGTAAACCCATAAAGCATTCTTCCCAAATACTGTTTAACCTGAAACTAATCAAGCCTCTAGAACCTCCAGTTTACAGGAAATTCATAAGGGAAGTTAAATATCACCATGAAGAAACATCGAGAATACGGGACATTCCATCAAACAGGTGGCCTAGAGTTTTCAAAAGTCCCTGTCCTTTGGGGCGCGGGAATGTTGGGGGAGAAAGAAAATGTTCTAAACTGAAGAGACTAAAAGAGACCTATCCATTTGTAATATGAACCTCGACTGCGTCCTGGTTTGGGGGGGAAAAAAAAAAACTAATGAAAGAAAAGACAGTCTTGGAACAGTTATGGGGGAACTGACTATGAACTGAACATTACTAGTTATGGAATCACTGTTACTGTTTTAGCTGTAGTAACAACATCCTGGAGGTCCTTATGCTCAGGAGGTAAACACTTGAAGTATTTAGGGCTGAAGTTTCAAGATGTCTGCAACTCACTGTCAAATGCTTTATTAAACTATATACACATGGCCAAATGGTTAACAATTATTAAATCTAGGTGGGAGGTATTTAGGTGCTCACTATATTATTCTTTCAATTTTATTGTATACTTGACAGTTTTTAAAACAAGAAGTTGTGGAAAAACTTGCAAAGCACCAGTCTGGGATCATGATCAGAAATAGGACGGGGCGCCTGGGTGGCTCAGTCGGTTAAGTGGCCAGCTTCGGCTCAGGTCATGATCTCACGGTCCGTGGGTTCGAGCCCCACGCCAGGCTCTGTGCTGACAGCTCAGAGCCTGGAGCCTGTTTCAGATTCTGTGTCTCCCTCTCTCTGCCCCTCCCCTGTTCATGCTCTCTCTCTGTCTCAAAAATAAAACATTAAAAAAAAATTTTTTTTAAATAAAAAATAAAAACAAAGAAATAGGAAAACAAGGGGTAACCGGGTGGCTCAGTTGCTTAACCATCCATCTGACTTCAGCTCAGGTCATGATCTCACGGTTCGCTGAGCTTGACTCCATGTCGGGCTCTGTGCTGACAGCTGGGAGCCTAGAGCCTGCTTCAGATTCTGTGCCTCCCTCTGTCTCTGCCTGAGTGCCCCCGCCCCCCCGCCACCCCCATCCCACTTGCATTCTGTCTCAAAAATGAACACTAAAAACATTTTTTTAATGGAAAAATAAGCTAGTTTTAGGGAAAAGATAATTTTTATTTTTCAATTTTTGTTTATTTTTTTTGAGTAGGCTCCATACCCAATGTGGGGTTCAAACTCACAGCCCTGAGATCAAGAGTCATGTGCTCTACTGAGTCCAGGTACCCTGGTAAGTTTTATTTTTGATACACTGCACTTGGAAGTGTCTAAGGGGTCAAGTTTAGAGATTTGGGACCCTCCACATAACAAAATAAAGATTAAGTAGATGAGATTTTTTTTAAGGAAAAGCATGCATACATAGAAATGCAATGCTGTAAGAACTAAAACTTGCGAAATACTTGTAAGAAAGTTAAAAAGATCCAGTTTTTTAAAGTAGGGAAAAATCATTCAGAAGATGGAAGGAAAATCTTAAAGGCATAATATGAATAAGTCAAAGGAAGACGGGGTCAAGTACAGCTGACAGGTCAATGCTAGAGAATACAAAGAGACCAAGGCCTGGGAAAAGGCTTGGGGAAAGGCCTGTGCATTTAGTGACCACAAAAGCCATTACAGAGAGAAGCTCCCGAAAGTATGGTTACTGAAGAACAGTAGGAATGGAAATAATTATTATGAGATTAAAGGAAATGAATGGTAAGAAAAGAGAAGCAACTGCTGCTTTCATTCATTTTTAAAGTCTGGCAGGAAGAGAAGAAAAAGAATCAGATGGGCAGAAATGTCACCTGAGGGTTTTTTCAAACTAGAAGAGACCTGTGGCTGGTTTCTGAAGACCCAGAAAACAAGGCACTGATGAAAAATGAATGAGGTGATGCTTCACATGCTACTCCCACTGCAGAAACAGCCACACATTGTAGGACTTTCACCAAATTACTCACCTGGCTCAATCTCCTGTAACCATACCTAATTTTACATTCTTACTTGGCTTACACATGGATCTTCAAGTCTCATTCTAGGCTTCTTTGTAGATAAATATTAGCTCCCATCTAAAACAATCATCAGGGGCGCCTGGGTGGTTCAGTCGGTTAAGTGTCTGACTTAGTCGGCTCAGGTCATGATCTCCCGGTTTGTAAGTTGAGCCCCATGTTGGGCTCTGCGCTGACAGCTCAGAGCCTAGAGCGTGCTTCTGATTCTGTGTCTCCCTCTCTCTGCCTCTCCCCCGCTTACATTCTGTCTCTCTCTCTCTCAAAATAAATAAATAAAATAAAATAAAATAATCACCAAATACATACATTGTATTTGCATTGATCGGTTATAACTAGCTAGCTAGCTACAGTGCTCGTGAAGGAATACTGTCACACTAAGAAACTGTCAAGCCCGCAAAATAAACACTGCTGACACCTACCAGCTGCTTGAATTTGTTTTGCACACATGGCCAAAATGGAGCGTCAGTAAATCTTGAAAAAGCTAGTAGGTGTGTGTTTCTCACCACATAAAAGGTAATATATCCTAGATATGGAAATCCTATTAAACATGTTTCACATGTAAAAACTAGAGTAACAACTAAAATAAAACTGCATTTACTTACAAAAGTGCTGCTCTAGCCAAATCATGTGGCATCAGTTCCTTATATCTGAGGAAAGAAAAGAAACAATTTAAACTAAAAGCCTAGAACATTAACAGTGTTTTCATTCTATTTGAAATACCTAGAGATACCATCTAATATGCTCCTGCAAATGCACTTCATGATCTAAGGCAGTCCAGCATTCCAAATGAAGCAATATTGTGACTACTATTTGTCATCCTTCGCAATCTGGCGGGCCTGAACTCCTACTGAGCTGGCTAAGAATCTAACCAAGATGTGGCCCAGTATCTTATTGTTCATCATGACATATGTTGCACGCTCTTTAAAACTAAACTCTATCTTCTCAGTTCTCTTTACTTCATTTTTCAAAATAGATTATTTTTCAACGTCCAAAGGGACCTGAGGGATGTATTAGGACTTTTTCGGAAACTTTTGGAAGTAATTTAAGATCTACGACAGAACTGGAAAGACCGAACAGACATCCTGAATACCCTTTGCCTGGCTTCCTCTAATGCTAATATCTTATCCAACCATGATGCACCAGTCGACACTAAGAAACTGGTACTGCTACAACATTCACTAAGCTGCTAACTTTATCTGGATCTCACCAGTTTTCTACTAATGCCTGCTTCCTGTTCTGTTCTAATACCAAATCCATGTACTTAGTTGTCATGCCTTTGTTTCCTCCAATCTGTGACAGTTTCTCAGCCTTTCCTTGTCTTTGTGACCTTGATATTTGAAGACTAGGGTCATGGGTTTGGGGGAAGAATACGAGAGAAGTGAAGTGCCCTTCTCATTGCTTCATATCGGAACGTGCATGATAGCAACATGACTTATTACTAGTGAATCACTCGGTTAAAGCAGTATCTGCCAGTTTTCATCACTATTTTTCCCTTTCTGTACTCAAGTTGAGTATAGAAGTGAGTCACCAGTCTGGACCTCGCTCGAAGGGAGGAGAATTCAGCTCTACTTCCTACTGGAAGGAATAACAAAGGATTTGTGGACATGTTAAAAGCACCACAGTAATTAATAAATATTTAGGGGGAAAGAGTTGAGGCAACGCAAGTATCTCGTTTCTCAACGTTTCTCACCTACTAATTTTTTCATTCATAGATCCTCCTTGCAGCAATTATTACTGTGGTGTTCCAATGGTGATTCATTTATTTTCATCATTCCTTCTATATTTATTAGCTGAAATTCTTTGGTAAAGATGATGGGTCCCTTCTCTCTCATTTATGTATTTATTCAATTATTTATTTATTTATGTAAGATGGGACTCACATAAATATTTTTCTTTGGGTTATGATGTAATACTCTATTTTATTGGTCAAATTGTTCTAGCTTTCATCATTAGAAGTTATTTCAGATTGGTCCCTTGTCCTTTTCTTGTGTCATTTTTTTTTTTTTTTTTTTTTTTTTTTTTTTTTTTCTTAAAGCACTTCTTCACTTCCAGGCACTACAAAATGCTCCAGCCTCATCTTGTATTTTCTCTGGCTCAGCCCTGGTCATTCTTCTAGGCAGGCCTGGCTCCTTATACTGAAGAACGGTATTTAGAAACAAGCTCTGCATGCAAACTCTGTTTAAATGTCAAAAATAAATTCCCTTTAAGTCAAAGATTAGGCCATTGGATTGAATAAGTTCATTCTACAAGTTCCTGAAAATCAAAACCTAAAAATCCAAAAATGTTTTTATTTTAACTCTGAATCACAGAAGAATTATCTGTAGTTTTCCAAATCTTTCAGAGGTGAAATGAGTTCCCTCAAATTTAGAACAGAATAATCTGGGGAAACATTGTGTGTCAATTTTAAAATGTCCAAACACTAAATTACCATTTTACAATGTTAACGCTCACATTCCTACACCCTTCTCTACAAGGATGATTAGCAGATTCCCAAATCCCACTGCTGGCATCCATTCCTACGAGTGCTTCCCAAATGCCCTCCCCTTTTAAGAACCTTGTCTTCCAAATAGCACTCAAGTTAAAAGCAAAGTTTCCTCAAATTGAACAGAAGAAGATCTTTTTCCACCTAGAAAATCATCTATTACATATAGAAGACCTATTTGTCACCTCAATCATAACATCAATCTCATGACTTGATTATTTGTCTTCTTTATAAATTCTTCTCGCTATATTGTCACTTTTGTTCTTCACATAAATATTACCTTGAAATTTTTTCCTTCTTTTCTATCAACCTTAATTTCTTATGTTATTCCAAGTTTATCTCTTCTCTGTACCACTAAGTTGCCCACGTACTTTGTCATCTCAGTCAGTTAAGATCCTGAATTAAACTAAAACACAACCACAAACAACAAAAGGAACCCCATACCAATGTGCTGAATATCTCAAATCAAACTTTGGGCAAATACTAATTACCAAAGAGTTTAAATAACGTAAGTAAATGATATAGCTGAACGTGTTCAAATTTCTTAATAACTAGTAAAACAGCTGGAAATAAATACCTACATAGTATATAAGCAACCCTTACAAAAAAAGAATTGTCTTCCTAGCCTAGAACTTTCTGCTCTTGACAGAACTTTCTTTTTCTACCCTGCTCTGCGAAGTACGAGGCTCTCCTGTCCTCAATTTCCTGCTGCTACAGCTTGAGATTCTTACTTTTACTGCTCTTGTCAGTAGAGGAAAAGATTATAGAGAAAAATGGCTTTACGATGCTGAGACAACAGGGTGAGTGAAGAATCTTCTCCACCACTCACTTACAGCATTAATTCTGTAAGAAAATACTCTCTAGGTTCTAAACCGTATGTTTAAAAAAGAACGTTTACTGTTTGTGTATGTACACACACACACAAAGGTATGCATCTTTGACAAACACACTGCTCTGCACCTTGCTCTTTACACTTAACACATCCTCAGAAACTTTCTATATTAGTATATATTGATAGGCCTCACTCCTCTTAGCAGATGCCCAACATTCCCCAGTGCAGTAAGTTAGTGACTGCTTGTTCAAAATATGAGTATCAAAACAACCTAAACAAAACAGAACTAGTATTTCACTTAGTTTGAACCTAGTTACCAAAGCCCATTATCAGCTTTTGGACAGACTAGGCCCCACTTGGGGATACAAAGCAGCAGACAAGTCTAAGGAGAACAGCAGTTTGGTTCCGGGAGATTTCTGTGCTCATCTAGGATCATTCTGGTTCTATTTACTTGGGGTTGTGCTATGCTGGGATTTCGACCAGCCTGTCAACTGCAATTCTGATCAGGAAGCTAAAGCAATGAATTAAAGGCCCTTCTGAATACCCACTGGCCCACAGCCTCAGTATTCAAACTTCTGAACAAGGACAGAAACAAGGTACTTATCTCCAGACAAGGAAAGCATACCTCTGCTGGAACCAAGGCATCTGGATCCACACTAGGTTTTCAAAATTGGCCTGGTTCAATCTAAAACTATACTAGGCTTGTTCATGAGAAAGGATGAAAAACAAATTTTGCCATTTTATTTTACCACTGGCCTGACTTATTCTGTATTAATTTCATAAAGAATGCTATGCGTACATTAACCCACTAGCGACAGTATTACCGACTGGGTTACATGTGCAAAGACCACTTCCGAAAGTGTCTTAAAAGAAGAAATAAATAAAATTACGTGTTAATTAACCGGATTTTAGTAATCGTTTCACAACGTATACACGTATGAAATCATCACATTGTATACCATAAAAAATCATGTCGTACAACCTAAATATATACAATTTTTATTTGCCAGTGATACCCTGAATAAAGCTGGAAAAGAAAAAAGAAAAAAAGGAAGAGAACACAATCATTTAATACTTACGAAGTGCCCGACTGCAAAAATGGAATGCGAACACCCTCCACCACCACAATATTCCTTATATTGGGTTTGGCTAAGGTTTTCTTCGACTTGGTCTGGGCGGCTTTAAGGTAAAGTTCAAAGAACTATTAATTCAAATATATGAAGTCAGATGACTTTTTACATTTTCAAAAACAGACATTCTAAGAAGAATTACAACATTCAATGCCAAGCTGCATTTGCCACTTACCAAACCAGTTCAATTAAAAATTTTTTAAAAAGGCTAAGAAACTGACTAGCATTTACAAGTTTCCAAACAGTATTTAAGGTAAATACAGAGATTATACCTAATAATGGTATATTCATTAATGAGAGTATTCATGCCATTAACAAAATTGTTTCTTTTTATCAAGTGTTTCACAATCACATTGAGAGCAGCCAATGTGTCACAGGTCTTCCCTTAATATTAGAAGTCCCGGGGTGCCTGGATGGCTTAGTCCTGCAACTGAGAGCATGCAACTCTTGATATCAGGGTTGTTAAGTTTGAGCCCCACATTGGGTATAGAGATTACTTTAAAACATAAAAAATCTCAAAAAAAAAAAAAAAAAAAAAAAAAAAAAAAAAAAAAAAAGGAGTCTCAATAAACGGTATCTACTCTTCACATAGCTTAGTATTCTTGTTTTTTATGTAGAAATAAAAGCCATTTGGTTGGTGATTATCACCATTCTGCAAAAACCTAGAATGCCTCCTGATTCTGTTTGACTCAATTTATATAGTTACTTTCCAACATCAAAAGAGCAACGTTCATGCCAGTATAGGACTGGCACAAAAATAGACTCAGATCCCATGGAACACAACAGAGAGCCCAGAAATAAACCCATGCTTATATGGTCAATTAATCTATGACAATGGAGGCAAGAATATACAATGGGGAAAAGACAGTTTCTTCAACAAATGGTGTTGGGAAAATCAAACAGCGACATGCAAAAAATTGAAACTGGACTACTTTTTCTTACACCACACACAAAAATAAACTTTGATGAGTTAAAGACCTAAATGTGAGACCCAAAACCATGAAGTTCCTAGAAGAGAGCACAAGAAGTAATTTCTTTGGTATCAGCTGTAGCGGTACGTTTCTAGATATGTCTCCTGAGGCAAGGGAAACAAAAGCAAAAATAAACTATTGGGACTACATCAAAATCAAAAGTTTTTACACAGTAAAGGAAAACATCAACGAAACAAGGCAACTTACTGAATGGAAGAAGATATTTGCAAATGATATATCCGGTAAGAGGTTAATATCCAAAATATATAAAGAATTTATACAACTCAACACCAAAAAAAAAACAAATAATCTGATTAAAAATGATAGAGGGTTTGAACATTTTTCCAAAGAAGACATACAAATGGCCAACGGACACATGAAAAGATGCTCAACAACACTAATCATCAGGCAAATGCAAATCAAAACTACAATGAGATCACCTTACACCTGTCAGAATGGCTAAAATCAAAAAGACAAGAAATAACAAGTGTTAATGAGGATGTGGAGAAAAAGGAACCCTTGTGCACTACTGGGAAAAAACACAAATTGGTACAGCCACTGTGGAAAACATTATGGAGGTTCTTCAAAAAATTAAAAACAGAAATACCGTATGATCTAGGGTCACCTGGGTGGCTCAGTCAGTTATGTGCCCAACTTCGGCTCAGGTCATGATCTCACGATTGCTGAGTCTGAACCCTGCATCGGACTCTGTGCTGACAGCTTGGAGCCTAGAGCCTGCTTTGGATTCTGTATCTCCCTCTCTCTCTGCCCCTCCCCACTCACACTCTGTCTCTCTCTCAAAAATAAAAAAGCAATGAAGAAAAGAAGACAGAAGAAAAGAAAAAAGACAAGACAAGACATACCATATGACCTAGGAATTCCACTTCTGGGTACATACCCAAAGAATACAAAAACACTAATTCAAAAAGATATACACACCCCTGTGTATACTGCAGCATTACTGAGAACAGCCAAAATACGGAAGCAACCCAAGCGCCCACCCATAGATGAATGAATAAAGATGTGATGTGTACACACACATACACGCACTCAATCAAATATTACTCAGCCATAAAAAAAGAATATCTTGGCATCTGCGACATGGATGAACCTAGAGGGTATAATGCCAAGTGAAGTAAGTCAGAGAAAGACAAATACCATATTATTTCACTCATATGTGGAATTTAAGAAACAAAACGAATGAGCAAAGACAAGAAGAGACAAACAAAAAACCAGACTCTTAAATACAGAGAACTGGTGGGTTGCCAGAGGGGAGGTAGGTGGGGGAAATGGGTAAAGTAGA